AGGGGGTTTGGGCCTCAAAAACGGGGTTTGGAACCCTAAAAATGGGGGTTTGGGCCTCAAAAATGGGGTTTGGGACCCTAAAAATGGGGGTTTGGGCCTCAAAAATGGGGTTTGGGACCCTAAAAATGGGGGTTTGGGCCTCAAAAATGGGGTTTGGGACCCTAAAAATGGGAGTGGGTTACTCACCCAGCCGCTCCTTCAGGCGCCCTGGGGGAGGCAGAGAGAGATTAATTCAAATTAAAAGCACCAAATTGATCGACATCACTCGATTTGTGGACAGTTTTATCATTAATGTGGTATTTAATAATACAAATAACACATAAATTAAATTTCTTACTTACTGATCTCGGCTTCGTTTTCCCCTGGAAGGAGGAAAGAGACGGAAATAAAAAAATTACTTTGACAAGACCTAAAGGGTGAAATGGTTCTAAATTAAAGAAACACACAAAAATAAAATATGAAGATATTAACAAATAAATAAAATAAATTAAATAAAGATAAATAAAAGGGGGGAACACTCACGGATTTGGGTGTCTCGGGCCTCTGCAATCAGCAAAAAGGAAAGGAATTATATTTTGGGGGAAACGCAGTTTAACCCCATTATTTTACAATCCCTGATTTTTCAAGCCCCCATTTCACAACCCCCCTTTGTATCCGGGTGTTTAATCGAGATATTTATGCAATACATCCATATTTATCTGTATTTCAGCCTCTGGGCTCAACTAAAACCCGAATTTCCCCCCTTTAAAACCCCTCTGAGGGAGGGAAATGCTCACCCAGCTCAGCCTCGTGTTCCCCTGGGAGAGAGAAAAGAGGGAAAACGGGAATTTCCCGACGTTCCTCGTTGGTTGTTTTGGGGGAAAAATGGGGGAAAAATGGGATTGGGAGATAAATCCGGGCACTTACGGAGCTTTTTATTGCAGCACTCTGGGGAAAAAAAGGGGGAAAATCTGGTTATTTGGGTTATTACAGCAATAAAATAATGATTATAAATAGGATTATTGGGGTCACTAATAACTTTTATTTAGTGTAAATAATTAAAGCCGGGATTAGCAGCATCAACTCACCGACATCTGCCGTGAGCTCCCCTGAAAATGAGGGGGGAAAAGGTGGATTTTAGGGGCAAATCTCCCTTTTCCTGCCGCCCCGGGGGTGGGGGAAGGTCGGAGATTTCCAGGAATTCCCTCCCCAGGAATTCTTCCCGGGAATTTTTAGGGATGGAAAAGCCCCGAACTCACCGATTTTCGTGTGTCTCTCGCCTGGAAAAAAAACGAGGGGGGGGAAAAAAAAACCCAGAAACATCCCGATTTTGGGGGGGGGTGGGTTATTTCCTGAGGTTTGGGAATCATTTTGGGGATAAAGGGATTAAAAACCGCCCGGGGGGGGGGCAGGACGGGACTCACCGAGTTCCACCGTGAAAAGTCCTGGAAAAACCGGGAAATCCCGTTAATTCCTGGCGGATTATCCGCCCCCCCCCATCCCTCCCCTTTCCCAGCTCTTCCCACGGGATTCGCCCCCTTTTTTTTTCCCCCCCTGGAATTCGGGTTCGGCCCCGGGGGGTTGTTCCTCCTCAGGGCCCCCCGGATTTTTTGGGATCCGGGAATTCCAGGGAATTCCGGGCACTCACGGATGGTGGAGTCGCACTTGGCTGCAGGGGGGGAGAGAGCAGAGCTGGGATTCAGACACGGGAATCGCAGCAAAATTCCCATTTTTTTTTTTTGGGGGGGGGGGGGGGGGGGCTCCTTCCCAAACACTCACCCAGCTCGGAGCGGAGCTTCCCTGGAAAACCAGAGGGATAAAAAAGGGAGTGAATTCCAACCGACCCAAACAGAAGGGTGGGATCAGTTCTGGCTGGGAATGGCCAGAAACCCCCCCCACAAAAAATTCCAGCCAGAGGGGTGGTGGGAGCATTCCCAGATTTTGGGGAACCCCCCTATCCCCCCCAATCCAAGGGGTGGAGGCACTTACGGAGCCCGGAGTCGCGCTCGGCTGGGGATGGGGAGAGAGAGAGAGAAAGAAATGAAAAAAACCACCAAAATCAGCATTTTTGGGGTGATTTGGGGGTGATTTTTTCACACTTCTGTCCCTGATTTAACCCAAAAAACCAAACCCCCCCCCCCCGGCTGGAACTCACCCACCAGCGCCGTGAGTCTCCCTGCAGGGCGAGGAACAGGGGGGGTTAATGAAGGAAAAGACACAAATCCACCCCAAAATCGGGGCTTTTGGCCCCAAAATCGGGGGTTTTGGCCCCAAAATCGGGGGGTTTGGCCCCAAAATGAGGAGCAGCACTC